GCCTTGTGTGTGTGTGTGTGTGTGTGTGTGTGTGTGTGTGTGTGTGTGTGAGGGGGATCCATGTCTGAACTTTCTACCTGTTCCATTTATCTGTCTGTTTTAATATCAGCACCACACTGGCTTTATAGTTTTATGATAAATCTTGAAAACAGGTAGTGCAAGTCCTCCAACTTTGTTCTTCTTTTTCAAAGTTGTTTGACTATTCTAGGTATTTTGTATTGCCATATGAATTTTAGAATCAGCTTGCCAATTTCTACAAAAAGAAAAAAAAACCTGCTAATATTTTTATGGGGTTGCATTGGAATCTATAAATCAATTTGAGAATAATTGACATCTTAATAATATCGAATCTTCCAACCTATCCCAAGATACATTTCTCCCCGCATTTAGGGTTTTTATACCTAAATATTTCATATTTTTATGCTACTATAAATGGTGCTTTACAAGTATATTATAATGATACTTTCCTATTTAATTTCTGGTAGGTAGATATCAATTGGTTTTTACATGTTGATCTTGTATCCTGCAACCTTTCTCTCTCTCTATACACATACACACACACACACGTACATGTGTGTGATGTATATTATGTATATATGGGGGGAGAGAGAGAGAGAGAGAGAGATTTCAAGGACTTCTGTATGTACAATCATGTTGTCTGCTAATAAAGTTTATTTCTTCACTCGCTCTGAATGACCTACATTTCTTTTTCTTACCTGACTACACTGGCCAGAAACTCCAATACAATGTTGAATAGAAGTGGTGAGTAAAGACATCCTTATCTCCTTCCTGATAGGAGGAAGAAAGCATTTTTTGCACTACAATTGTGCATGCTCTCTGTAGATTTTTGTGGATATCCTTTGTAAGGTTGAGAAAGCTCCTCTGTTGCCAAGATTTTTTTTTACCAGGAATGGATGTTGGATTTTGTCAAATGCCTTTTCTGTATCTATTAAGATGACCATATGGATTTTATTTAGTCGTGTGTTTGAGTTACATTGATTAGTTTTTGAAGATTAAACCAAATTTGTCTTCCCGGAATAAACTTCACTTGATCAACATGCATTAACCTTTTATACATTGTTGAATTCAATTTGTTAATAGTTTATCTAGAATTTTTGCATCATTGTTTATGAGGTAAGTTGGTCTGTAGTTTTCTTTTCCTGTAATGTCTTGTTCTCATTTTTGTATCCGGTTCATACTAGCCTCCTCAATTTAAAGCTTCTGGAATTGTTTAGAATTGGTATTATCTGGTCCTTAAATTTTTGGTAGAACTCACCAGAAGGCCAGCTGAAGTTTTCCTTGTGGAAAGATTTTAAACTACAAATTCTACTTCATTAATAGATATAGAGCTATTCCAATGATCTATTTCTTCTTGAGTGACTTTGGCATTTGTGCCTTTCAAGGAATTATTTTTGTTTTTGTTTGTAAGTTGAAGTCTCGCTCCATCACCCAGGCTAGAGTGCAGTGGCACACTCATGGTCACCCCAGCGTCGATTTACTGGGCTCCAGCAATTCTTCCATCGCAGCCTTCCAAGTAGCAGGAACTGCAGGTACGCACTACCACACCCGAGTAATTTTTGATTTATTGTACAGGCGAGGCTTCTCCAAGTTGCCCAGGCTGGTCTCGAACCCGCGAGCTCAGGCAATCCACTTGCCTTGGCCTCCCAAAGTACTGGGATTATAGGCTGAGCCACCAAGCCTGGCCTATTTAATGTTTCTTATGACTCTTTTATTTCCTTTTTTGGCTCCTTAGCTATAACTCCGTTTTGTTATTCTACCAGCTGCTTAAGGGCTTATCCTGTACGTTTTTCACTGATAGCAATCAGCCTTCAAGTATATCATGCGTGATATAAGAGCTTATTATTGGGCACTTTCATTTTCCCATCTCAGGCTTATGCTGGTGGCATCATATCTTATTCATATGCTACAAACCCTACAGTACACTGTACTTATTTTTCTTCAAACAATTATCTTTTAAAGAAATATAAAATAAGAAATAAATCTTCTATATTTACTCAAGCAATTATTTCTAATGTTATCTATTTATTGATTTATTTATTTGAGTTGGAGTCTCACTCCTGTCGCCCAGGCTGGAGTTCAGCAGCACACTCCATGGCCACCATAGCCTCCACCTGCTGGACTTAGGCTATCCTTCTGCCTCAGCCTTCCAAGCAGCTGGAACTACAGACGCACACCACCAGGTCTGGCTGGTTTTGTGATTTGTTGTGGAGACGAAGTCTCACCAAGTTGCCCAGGCTGGTCTTGAACCCCCAGGCTCAGATATCCTCTCACCTCGGCCTCCCAAAGTGCTGGGATGGCAGGCCTAATGTTCTTTATTCTTTTATGTAGATCTATATTTCCTTCTGGTGTTATTTTTCCTTTTGCCTAAATGACTTTCTATCTTTTCTTGTAGTGTGGGGTGTGGGTCTGTTGATGGATTTTTTTCAGCGTTCGTATGTTGAAAAAAAATTTTATTTTACCTCCATTTCTGAAAGATTGTTTTCAGGGTACAGAATCCTAGGTTGATAGATATTTTTCTTTCAGTTCTAAAGATGTCCATCAACTCTATTTTCATTTGTTCTGTTTTCAACAAAAATTCCCCTACTGTCTTTATCTTTGTCTCTCTATGCATAATATCTTATGTTTCCAGATGATATTAAGCTTTTCTCATAATCATTGGTTTTGAGTAATTTGGTGATCATGTGTTTTGGTATCGTTTTCTTCAGATTTCTTGTTCTTGAAGTTCGTCAAGCTTGGCGGAATGGTGGTTTGGTCGTTTTCACCAAGTCTGTAAAAATTGTGGCCATTATTTCTTCAGATAATTTTTTTGTTCCTTCCCCTTTTCAGGGACTCCAATTTCAGAGATATTAGGTTGACTGAAGTTGTACCAAGGCTCAGTGATGCTTTGTTCCTTTTAAAAATTCTTTTCTCTCTGAATTTTATTTTGGATAGTTTCTATTGCTGTCTCATCAAATTCTCTAACTTTTTAATCAGTAATGCTTAATATGCCATTAATTTCACCCAGTGTGTTTTTCATCTCAGACATCGTGGTCTTCAGAGTCAAGAGTTTGGATTGGGTATTTTAAATATTTTCTGTCTCCGCTTAATTCGTTGAACATGTGGAATATAGTTATCAGGATTGCTTTCCTTCCCTTTTCGACTACTTCTAACTTCTGTATCAGTTCTCAGTTGGTTTCAGTTGATCGATTATTCCCCTCATCACAAAAGTGATTTCCCTGCTTCTCTGCATAACCGTTGTCATATCTCATCAACTTTGCATGCAAGAAACTGTTTTATTGTGTTAGTACTGAACATTTTTTGTATTCCAGGGAATCTTCTTGAGCTTTGTGGAAGGGTGCAGTCAAATTACTTCAAAAGAGTTTGAATCTTTCAAGACTTGCTTTTAAGATGTGTAGAGCCAAGTCAAGGAAGCATCTAGCCTAGAGCTAATTATTCCCTACTACCGAGACAAGGTGTTTAATGAATACTCTGCCCGATATCCCATAAATTATGAATTTTGCTACACACACACGCAAAAACCCACAGCAAGACCTCAGGACTCAGCTACTCCCTGTCACTCTGAGTAATGGTCAATTCACCCACCCCCTGTGACAGGTCACTCTGAGTGACAGTTAATTCACTCGAGTGGTACCTCAGGGACCAAGATTTAGCTGGCTCTGAGAGACACACATACACCCTCTTACCTGAGACAATGGCCACTTCAACTTTGACCCCATGGTTTGATCCAACTTGCGCAATCCCACACCAGTAAGTGTCAGCATCGTCTCGCCTGAGATCCTCCATGGTCACTGTGAATGTGAGATTTTTCTGATCGTCCCCGATGGACACCCGGCCTTTCTTCACCTCCTGCTCTGATCCAATGGTTTGGACAAGGATCTTGCAGCTACCCCAATCAGCTCCTCGACACCACCACTTCTTGTGGGTGGTCCAATATGGGTCATAGCGGCACTTCACGGTCAGTGAGCCCCGCTCCGGGCCGCTCACAGTCGCTGGACCAGTGATTTGACTCTTGGCAGTGGAGTAGCCTAGAAAACACAAATCCATGTACCTGTCACCTCCCACCCCGAGGGCAGGGCCACAGCCTCCGGCACTGGTAATAGCTCCCAAATACTAGCACCTCATAGCATTCAAGGAAGAAATAGACCTTCCACACGTAAATCTTTGTCCTTCGAAACTCCCCTGGATCAAAGCCACCAGGAAAGTCACTGAAGAACAGCTGCACATCTCCAAAGAAACAAAAATTTTGACACTGAGTAGAAATAGCTTCCTACAGTCCACCTCCTCCCCCTGCTTATGGCCACAAATCTTTATATTTCAAAGACTGTCCTCTGGCAACCTTTTTGTGTTACCATCATCTGGTGCGGGGAAGCAGCAGAAGACTCATTCCCACAGGAGAATGACTGACTACTGCTTTGACCCTTGACGGTTCCTAGAGGTTCTCATGGTTCCTGGTGGCTCTGCTGTGGTAAACCCCCCTGGATGAATGTCTCTGGAGACAACCAAAACAGCAATGGGCTCTGTTCCCTGTGTGTTATGGTATCCATATCACACAGATCTCATTTTCTCCATAAATAGTTGCAAATTCCAATTCCAAAATTCCTAGTAAGAGTTAGCCTTTAACATAAAAACAAAGAAAATTTAAATGTAAATAGAGGGACACCTATTTTGTGCCTGCTCATGATTTGTGAGATTTTTTGCTAAACCTAATGGAAGTGATTTAAGCCAGAGTTAAAGGGCGAGGAATCCAAAGTGCCAAATTAGCTCTTCTTTTCAAAAAATCTGCTCCAAGACAGCACTAATATGCATGTTATTTTCAGGCTAATCTTTCACTTGAAATAATTCATAATAATAGAAATACCTTAAATGAGTCCTGAATCACAAATTCTTTATATTCAACTGACCTAAGGGAGATCCATTTACAGCAATCTTAGATGTTGATGATTTTTGTACTAGCAACAAACAATAGCTGTGATTGTTGCAACATTAAGTGTGAGAAGGAACTAGAAGCTCACTGAAGCACTTGAAGGAGCCCTGCAATTCACGTTGGAGGAGAGAAGCCAGATTCTTGGAACTGAATCCTGTCTGAGGACTAAATGCTGATCTCTCTCTCTCTCTCTCTCTCTCTCTCTCTCTCTCTCTGTCTAG